AGACTGAGAGGCAAGAAGGGCAGCTTGGTCCCTTCTAGAGACTGATAGCTGATACATGGTGCCCATTTTTCAAGTTGGACTGTTGTATGAGTTTCCTGGGGCTGCCATAACAAAGTAGCATATACTGGGTATCTTAATCAATAAAAATTGATTTTTCTCACAGTTCAGGATGTTGGAAGTCCAAGATCAAGGTGCCAGCAGGGTTGGTTTCTTCTGAGTCAGTGAGGAAAGGCTCTGTTCCAGGTCTCTCTCTTTGGTTTCTAGATGGCTGTCTTATCCCTTGTGTCTTCACATGTCTCTACATATCTATGTCTAAATTTCCTCTTCTTCTAAGTTCAGCAGCCATACTGAATTAGGACCCATTCTAATGACCTCTTTTTAATTAATTACCTCTTTAAAGACTATATTGTCCACTCGCATCCTGAGATACTGAGAGTTCAGACTTCGATATACAAAGTTCAGACTTTGTGGGGACAGAATTATGCTCATTTAGCAGCTATGCAGCAGATAGACCTCAGCTCATAGAGTTTCTGTTATCTTAAAATAGTGCATGGACATTGGCTCAGTGGTAAATGACAAATGAGCCTCAAATCAATTATGGTGCATTTTAAGGGAGTTGAGATTACTTTGTGAGTTGAGGAAATGCATAAAATAATTAAGACAGGAAAGACAATATCTAGTATTTCTCCTTAGTTCCAACTAAGTGGTCTTTGAGGAATCGTCTGAGAACATTTGAATATGGTTCTCTTAATCATTTTGTAAACAAATGATGCTGGGATTCTTTGTTCAGGGAGGTTTCTGGTGGACTTCATTTCCAGATACAACAAACTGTCTGGTTCTTCTCCTGGGCCTCCCCTGACCGCAGCAGTGTTGGTTGTTGTGCTCAGTGGCAAATGCTCGAACTTTCTTTTATTGTTGTAAACTCCATCAACCTCAATTTAGAAGTTCCTGTGGCCAGCTGGCTTTTCACTGTTCACCTATGTCAGAGACCTTTGCAGTTTAAGCCAATCTAAGCCACTTGAAATAACTGTAGGAACAGACATGGTAAAGAAATTCATCCTGTCTGGCCCAAAGTAGTTACAGACCCTCGTGTTGTTGGAATGAATCATGTTCCAAGCCTCCTTCCAGATGGTAGAACCCAATGGATGAGGAAAACTCATGGTCCTTCATGGAACTCAGTCTTTATTTCTTCTTCTCTCCCATCTTCGCTCCAACAACAACCTTTCTTCAGTTACTTAGTGCCCTCTGGCCTTGTGATGCCCAGCAGTGGCCCAATATTTCCAGAATTCTTCTAGCTACTTCTGTCTCAGTGAGAGAATGGTGCTTGTGTTCTGAGAAGGTCTTCTAGGTTCACCCAACATTTATAATGAAATCTCTGTATCCCAGCTTTTCTGGAATGTCTCAAATGATCAGAAATCCACTGCCTTGGGAAACATGTCATTGTTTTTAAACCCCTTCCATTTTTATAACATTCTTCGTGTTTGGAAGCTTGATATTTGTTCTATCTAAATTCCACACATGGTTCTTAGCCTGCTCTCAATCAGTCATATGCAATCAGTGGATTCCATCTTCTATTTGATGACCACCATTGCACATCAGAGGACAGCTAGTGTGCTTGGCCTGAGTCTTCTATACCTCACGTTGGACAATACCATAGCCAACATTGCCAGCCATGGTTTGGGGTGCCATCCTTGGGCTCATTTGAGCCTCAGGTCTCTGAGTGGGTCCTAATGGCTGCTAGTGGATCAACACTAAACTATGCTGAGATTCCTCACCTTTCAGGGATAAGATAAAATGTTCCCTTCTCTGGGCAGCCTTCCTAAATATTACTCAAATACCAGGCAATTAACAGCTTCTTTCTTGGTATTCTCATGCCACCTTGTATGCTATAACACTCATCACACTGTATCACAACTATTGATTGACATTTCCTCTCTCTTGCTATATTATGACCCTCTCTTTGAGTAGGGACTGCATCTTAATCATCAGGGCAGCCTCCATTCCTGGATCAAAATAGAAAATTCATGTTTATTGGTTGCTTTGATGATTCAGGAAATCAAAGTTCAACATCCAGGTACTAGGGCTAGTCAGAAAAGGAAATATCTTTGTTTAGGGAGATTTTTAATGGTCCTCAGCTCAGATCCTTTGAGGAAGATCCTGGGTAATACATTTAAATTATCCAGACCAGGGTGAGAGGTGTGTAGGGAGTACAGATTGCAGCATGGCATACCACTGAGACTTCTCAGATGCTTCTGGATATTCCAGTGCCAATCATGGCTTGCAACCTTAGTGTCAAATTACACCTGAAACCAATATAGCATTGTATGTCCCCTGTACTTCAAGAACAAATAAGATTTTTTTAAAAAAAGAAATTGTAGGGGTGCCTGGATGGCTCAGTCATTAAGCATCTGCCTTCAGCTCAGGTCATGATCCCAGGGTCCTGGGATTGAGCCTTGTGTCAGACTCCCTGCTCGGCGGGAAGCCTGCTTCTCCCTCTCCCACTCCCCCTGCTTGTGTTCCCTCTCTCACTGTGTCTCTCTCTGTCAAATAAATAAA